CCACGCCAAGCTGCCCGTCAAGTGGATGGCGCTGGAGAGCCTCCAGACCCAAAAATTCACCACCAAGTCAGACGTGGTAGGCATCACCCCCGTCCCTGTCCCCCCCGTCCCCATCCTGCCCAGCCTCCCCATGGTGGCTCTCTGCTCGGCAGTGGTCCTTCGGGGTGCTCATGTGGGAGCTGCTGACGCGGGGGGCATCGCCGTACCCGGGGGTGGACCCCTACGACATGGCCCGTTACCTGCTGCGGGGGAGACGCCTGCCACAGCCCCACCACTGCCCCGACACCCTGTGAGTGGGGCTGGGGGGTGGGCAGGGTGGTGGAGAGGGAAGGGGGGTGGTCCCCGGGGGGCTGGCAGTGCTGACTGGGGTGTTGGGGCAGGTACGGGGTGATGCTGAGCTGCTGGGCGCCGGCGCCCGAGGAGAGACCATCCTTCACGGGCCTGGTGGGCGAGCTGAAGCGTGTCCTGGCCACGCTGGAGGGTGAGCACTACGTCAACCTGGCCGTCACCTACATCAACCTGGAGCGCGGCCCCCCCTTCCCCCCTGCCCCCCCGGGGCAACTGCCCGATAGTGAGGATGAGGATGAGGAGAACAAGGAGTATGAGGAGGAGGAAGAAGAGGAAGAGGACACGGCCGTGTGCTGATGGAGTGCCCTGCACCATGGGGTCTCCAGGACCCCCATACACTGAGGGCACGCTCCCCTTAGGGGGGATGCAGCGTGCAGCCGGGTGCTATGGGGCACCTTCCCTATGGGATGGGTGCTGGGAGGCAGCTGGGTGCTGTGGGGTGCCCTCCCACGGCCCACACCCGGACCCCAATGGGTGCTCCCCAGGCTTGGTACCACACCAGTGGGCCCGTGGGGGTCGGTCCACCACTGGCTGGGTGCTGGGGGGCTCAGCCCCACAGTGGTGAGGCTGTGCTGTGGGGCCCCAGCTCAGCCCCAGTAGGTGCCATGGGGTACCCTGACCCACCCAGGGTTCCCATGGGGTTTCCAGCCCCTTGGCTGCTGGAATTGCTCATTAAAAATTAATTATATTTTTTTTCCCGGGCTGAGGCTGTGTTTCTGGGGGGAACATCAGGGTGTCCCTGGTTGGTAGCAACCCTGTCCCCCTGCGTGGGAGGAGCTCCCCGCTGCGTGTCCCCACCCCCCAGGGGTGCCCACATGGTGGGGGGCTGTGGGTGAGGGCGCACCCACCGTTCCCGTGCCAGCCACGGGAGGGCACCTGCACACCGGTGCTGGCTTGGCCACCCCGAGCACTGTCCCCCGGTGCCCGCCACGCCGGGTCACCTATGTACCCTGCATCCCATCACGACCTCCAGCGATTAGGGGGGGACGCTCGCATCTGGGAGGTGATGCCAGCACCAAGAAAAAAGGATTTTCCTAAAAGTCCCCCTCCCACCCTCTTCAGCTGTGGCTAAATACAACCCCAGCGGTGCCACCGGCAGCTCTGCCAGCTGGGGGGGGAGCTGGAGGTGCTCTCCTCGCTGCCTGGCTATGGGGGCCATGGGGTGTGAGACACTGTGGGGAGCACCATGCGTGGGGGTCACGGTGCCCCTGAGATCATGGGATGATGGGTGCCTGGGCATGGGATCACAGTGCCCTTGGGATGGTGATGCTCCTGGAATGATGGGTGCCTGGGCATGGGATTGCAGTGCCCTTGGGATGGTGATGCTTCTGGAATGGTGGGTGCCTGGGCATGGGATCAGGCTGTCCTGGGGTTCACGGGTGCCTGGACGTGGGATCACCATGTTGCTGGTGTCACAGAGGGATTACAGTGTCCCCGGCACCAAGGTGCTGGTGGGAACACAGTGCCCAGGACATGGCATCATGGTGACAGACAATGGCACCCAGCCCACAGTGCCCCCCACCACTGCCCACCATCCCTGCCTGCGTCATTATTATCAACCTCACCTAATTACACCCTAATTGCTTCAGCCACCGCCTGTGCAGGGAACACTGCCTGCGCTGGAGTTGGGCATCTCATGCCCCAGGACATGCCCAGAGGCTGGCAAGGGGCTGCCCAGGAGCAGGGAACAATGGCTGAGCCCCCCAACAATGCTCACCCCCACCTGCTCCAACTTTCTCTGCTCTCTTTGCTGTGGCAGATGTCCTACCTCTGCCGTAGCAGATGTCCTATCTGCAAGGAGCTCATCCCAACAAGAAGGTCCCCTCCGCCCCAGTTTTGGGGCAAAAATCCCCTAGAACAAGACATTGGTAAAGAAGAGGGGGTCAGCGATGGGCATCACCCCCTGGGTGCCCATCTGGGGCTCGGGGTCAGAGCAGGGTTTGGGGAAGGGTGGACGGGCAAGTGATGCTCAGGGCAAGTCCAGGGGATGATGAAACGTGCCCCGGCCCCATGGCCACCGGCAGCTCCACTGCCCGGTCCGTTGCCGGCCACGCGGGTCCTGCAGCCAGCGCCGGCTTTAAATAAAACCTCCTCGGCCGCTCATTAAGTGGCGCCGGAGCCCGGGGCTGCGTCAGCTCCCATCAGCCAAGCTGTCCGTCTCCGCCGGCGCCTCGCACCTGCACGGCTCCGCCACCGCTCCCGGGAGGGTATTTTTAGCCCGGCTGAGTCCTGGCATCTGGCGTTCGGGGGATCTGCCAGGATGGTGCCTCAGTTTCCCTGCGGTGGGGCCACGCTGCCCCTCCCCGGGGTGGGTTTCGGGGTGGCCGTGCCCCTGGTGGGGGTGTCGGTCCTGCCCGTGCGAGGCCAGAGCATCACCGTTTTGGCTGGGCTGCCGAGTTGCTGTGGCAACAGCAGAAGGGCCCATCACTGAGCGGTTATTATGGGCTGGATCAGACACAGGAGGTGCTGGGGGGTGCTGGGGGGTGCTGGGTGCCAGGACATCAGCAGGGATGCAGCCAGGCCGGGGTACCATCAGCAGCCGGGATGCAGGGATGGAGGGATGGAGGGATGGATGGAGGGAGGGATGGAGGGA